CTGTAATTTTCCCTTGTAATTTATAGTGTCTAATTTTAGAATCAAAGTTATGCGGGTCTTATAAAATGAATTGTGAAGTGTACTCTCTATTCCTGAGATACATAGTAGGAATGAGTACATATGTTCACTAAAAAATATGTACAAGGTTGTTTATTAAAAAGGACTATTCATTCATATTAGTGTTTTTAACTCCTCTTAACTTTATTATTTCCTTCCTTCTATTTTATTTGGATTTATTCTATTATTCCCTTTCTAACTTCTTAATTAAATAATTAACTTACTTAGTTTTAATCTTTCCTCTTTTATAATATAAAGCATAAAGTTTCCTCTTAGTTTTAGCTGCATTCCAAAAGTTTTTATGTTAGTATTTTCATCATTATTCACTTTCCTGCATGTGTGTCTAATTTTCTTACTTGAGTACATTTTACACACAATGTTACATTAATATTAGTTGTACAACATAGTGATTCAGCATCGCTGTACCTTATGCTATGCTTACTACAAGCATAGCTACCATTGTCATCATACAGTGTACATTTATGTTCCATACATATTACATAGTTTATGTTTGATGTATTTCCCAATTTGAAAAGTTTTACATTTTACCTCATGGAGGATATTTAGGGACTTAACGACAAGATAAAATCAGTATTATTGATATGTACTTTTTAAAAAATATTTTAATTCCAATTAATTCCATTTGCAATTATCTTCAATTGTGTGATAATACATATAAGTGCATCCTATCAATTAGGAATGGCTACAGTATTACTACTGTATTTTCAGAAGCTGTAATATCCCATTTCCCTGGTGAATGCCTTCACATTTGTGTTTTATTATTACGATTTTTTTCTTTCCTTTAGGATGAAGACTGCCTAGTCATAAGAATAGTGTAGAGATCCTACCCTAAACACACACACACACACACCCATATACACACACCTGGAGAAAGAAACCACACCCAAATTTTATGAGCAGTTTCAGGACAATGGAACATTAGGATTCATATAAGTCAGGTTTTGCAAAGTAAGTGTATGAGCTTGCTGTGATTATCTGACCCTCTGTAATTTTTACAAACTATAGGTATTAAGACCATACTTCACGTGGAAGTAAATCTATTGAAATATTTAACAAAGTGACAATATACTAAAAGAGAATAGGCTTTGGGATTATGTTGTCTTTTGTATTAACATATATTCTCTCTTCCATTAGTATGGACAATTGGAATGGTATTTATTTGGGAATTTTGTAAAACTCTTATCACATACGGGGCCCTTTCTGTTACTTTCCTTTCTTAGGTAACATCATACACCAGGAGCATCGAGGGATTATTAGCTACTACATTCCCAAAAAGGAAATCTGCTGGGGAAAGGTGATTTTAGAAATCAGATTCTTCTAGCATTATGTGTAATAGAGGACTGATAGAAGGAGGCATTGAGATTCAAGCATATGGAATGGAAACCTGACATTGGCAGAGAAGAACCTTTGTTATTTTCCAAAGGCCCCTATAGTTTGAGACTTATGACCCTAAATTCTATTATTCCATACTATCAAGAGAATGAGGATGGGAAACTGCCTCCTCTCTATTTTCAACCATCTTTTCCTTCTACTTTCTAGCTTCCCCCTTCTGTGTCTTTTTGTCCCTAAGCATACGCCTGGCAGGAGTTGGGGAATGACTGGGTGGGGAAAAAGTCACTGGGGAAATTACAATGGTAATGCCATCTTTTTTTTTTTTTTCTGTTAAAGGTGTTTAGTATTTTGGAGGAAGCTAAAGTGCTATTCAATCTAGAAGACTATTCTGTCAGTCAGATAACACTGGAGCAAGTCTTCCTGACCATTGCTAATATTGATAAAACAGAAAGTATTCAAGAAATAAAAGTGCTATGAGATTCAGTTCCAACCAGTGACCATTATGTCTTGTCTAGATTGCTTCCTACAATTAGATACACAGAGGGACTTCTCCCTCTGCCTCTGTATTTTTCTGTGTGCGTGCACATGTGTATATACAAATTGAACCCCCAAAGAAGAAAATTTGTAATCTTTGGAGATGAAGATAAGTGACCTGTTGTGAAGAACTGAACTGTAAAGGATCTGAGATTTTACCCTACTTGAAAGTTATCAAGTTGGCCCTACCACAGTTTCACGAGTACTGGCAGAAAACACTGGAATCCTGGGTCAAAGTCACAGGAATTTGTTACAGCAATAGCAGTAGTCAGAGATTATATTTGTGCCAGTCCTTTAATCCTAATTCTCACAAGGCAACACAAAGAGAGCCAGGTAATTCCTGTACATTCAGTGGACTGCGTTACAGGAGAGAAACCCTGGGTTTATGGAACCCAAATCTTTTATAATGGGCCATAAATAAACCTGCCCTACCTTTGCTCTGGAAGGAAACATTCTCATTATACTAAAAATGAAGTAAATGTTTCCTTTGGTCCAGAGGGAGATATGATCGCTCTTCGAGGCTGTTTGCTCTACAATCAGCCTTGCAAAAATAGTCCAAAACAAAAAGGCAGTTAGTGCTTCTGTTTGCAAGTCATGCAAAAATGCAAGAGACCTATGATTAATAACTATTTTTTAAATGGTAATGTTAATCAAAACTCATCCCATCTGATGCTACAAAAAAAAAAAGGCCTAGATGAGTTTTAACTATTTTCAAGGAATCTGTATTTTATAAATTTTTCCTGAAAATATAAAAACTACAAATTTTGTCAAACTCATTTTATGAGATCATATAACCTTGATACTAACAATCATATAAACAATCATATAAACTTGATACCAATACTGGGTAATCATAATTCAAGAAAACTATTTTCATTCTATGAACATAGATTTGGGCAGATAGCTTTCTAAATATTCTATACAACATAATCCTGGTATTTCATTTTATTATATGCCTGGGTTCTACTTTTTCTGGTATACCGTATCTTCCTATTTCTTGGTTGTTGTCCTCTTTTTGCTAGAGTGAAACCACAAGTAATTTTCTAGGCAAGAGTGGGGAGTAAAGTTTCTGAGTAATTGCTTGGCTCAAAGTGTTTCTTTTTACTTCACACTGAAGGGATTGTCTGCTTACAGAATTCCACTCTAAATAGTATATTATTCCACTGTCTCCTAACATCCAGGGTTGCTGATTAGCATTCCTTTGTAGGTAAACAGTTTCCACTCCAAACATGAACACACCCAACTCTCTCCTCCCCTCAAGATTTTTTCCTTTTATGCGTGGGATTCATACATTTCATGAGGAGGAGTCTTGGTGTAAGACTTGTATTCATCCTGTTACCCAACCCAATTATTTGTTTAATAACTGCTCCCCTCTATCTTCCCCTGTTCTCTCCTGTATTTACTATTATTCAAATGTGAGATCTCCTACATTACTAAGTTGTTTTCTCCCCTATTTTTTTCTTTTTTCTATATTCTTTTTTTTCTTTTTTCTATATTCTTAGATAGAGCCTCCATATTGTCTTCCAGCCCTTAATTGTTTCTTTTAAGCAATGGTATTTTTCATTTCAAAGTGTTCTTGCCCCACTAAGGGCTCCTTTTTAAAAAAGCATCCTCTGGCTTTAAGCACTTGCAGGCTTTTCTAATGTCTGAGGATTCTACACTTGGAGTCATCTGAGTACTGTACCCTACCTGACTGGCACAACTACTCTAGATACTTTTAAATTACATATATGTATGTATTTATATATATACAAATATGTATTTTTATATATATAATTAATATATATATCCCCCCCATATTTTTAAGATCTCCAAATCACATGCGAACTCCAAGTCCTGGGCCTCTCCAGGACTCCACTGAGAAAATCTGCACCCAGATCTAGTGTATCCCCTCTTACTTGCATGGTGAAGTTGATTTCTCTTGTTTTCTTTTTTTTTTTTTTTAATTTTATTTATTTATTTGACAGAGGGAGACACATTGAGAGAGGGAACACAAGCAGGGGGAGTGGGAGAGGGAGAAGCAAGGCTTCCCACCCAGCAGGGAGCTCCATGTGGGGCTGATCCCAGGACCCTGGGACAATGACCTGAGCCTAAAGCAGACGCCTAACGACTGAGCCACCCAGGCGCCCCCGATTTCTCTTGTTTTCATTTGTCAACACACTTCCGTTGTGTTTACAACTTCAAATCTTTTATTAATCCACTCATGACCCTTGCCTTTTTTCTCTTTTGTTAGAGGTTTATTTCCATTCCATTCATTTTAGGGAAGAGAAACACCATGTCCTCCGGCATCCAAAAACTAAAAATTTAAACTGAAGAAGAAAACACACACACACAAACGAATTCCATCTCCGAAGCATACGTAGGTAATACATTAATCAAGGATGGGTAGTGTTAACCGGTGTAAATGGATAAAGAGGGCATGGCGCAGGAGGGCCTCACAAGAAGAGGGCCTGTTGCAGGATATAGAGAACAGGTAAGTAAAAAGGCGGACAAAAACGGTGGGAGACCAAGGGTGTAGGGTGCATGGGCAGGGATAGGACTTGCTAAGGGAAAGCGGAAGGAGGTGCGGGTATGAAGGATAAAAGCTGAGAAGTCCGGAGGCACGGGCAGGGGCTGAGGGGGGCGGGGCGCACTGCGTGAAGCTGAAGGGGACGGGACGCCACCACCGCGGCCTGAAGAGGCGGGCCCCAAGCGCCGGGGGTTCAGGGGGTGGAATGCACACTGGGGCTGACGGAGCAGGGCGCACGCGCAGAGGGGCGAGGGACTGGGATACCCGCGCTGGGGCTGGGAGCGGGGCGCACGCGCAGAGGGGCGAGGGACTGGGATACCCGCGCTGGGGCTGGGAGCGGGGCGCACGCGCAGAGGGGCGAGGGACTGGGGATACCCGCGCTGGGGCTGGGGAGCGGGGCGCACGCGCAGGGGGGGCGAGGGACTGGGATACCCGCGCTGGGGCTGGGGAGCGGGGCGCACGCGCAGAGGGGCGAGAGACTGGGATACCCGCGCTGGGGCTGGGGAGCGGGGCGCACGCGCAGGGGGGCGAGGGACTGGGATACCCGCGCTGGGGCTGAGGGAGCGGGGCGCACGCGCAGGGGCGTCACGGGGTACGTCCGAAGCGTGGCCAGTTGGAGAAACCGAGCCGTGCTCTCAGTTTTGAGAGTGGTCGGAGCCGAGGAGGGAGCGTGGTGTCTGGGGCGCTGCGGACAGAGAGCGTAGCGTGCCGCTCCGGCGTGGGGGTGGTGACGGCTGCGGGACCAAGGGAGGAGCGAGCGCCTCGCCCAGTTCTCGGGGTGAGGCCGCAGTGGGGGTCGCCGCCGCGGAGTTTTGGAGCTGTTGGGTGAGTGCCCGCAGGCTTCTTGCCCGTAGCTCCTTCCCACCTGTCCCTCCGTCCTTTTCTCCTCGGGGCAGAGCCCTACCTTGCTGAAGGCCCGAAGGCCAAAGTGGTGTGCAAAAGTGTGCCCTAGCTTTGTAAAAGTTCTGGAAAATTTAGGTTGATTCCTGAAATGCCGAGGAAAATTAAAAATGACTTTTTTCCCTTTACCCGGTACAGGACTAAGTCACTCCGTGTCATCTAATTTGATTTCTACTTGAAATTGTCCTGTGTATGTATTTTCAGTGTTAAAATATAGTGTGTGCGTGCAGTAACTACAAAATAAGTAAATTTATTTCTAAAAACTTGTATTTAAAACGGAATTTTAAAATGCTTTAAGACTTTAAGGAATCTGGCAGCCTTTAGTTATTTTTCTAGTTTTTTTTAGATGGTTTTTGAAAACCAACAGTTTTGACAAATGACATAATTTTGTGTTTGGGGACATAAAGTTTTAATAGTGTCTGAAGAGAACATCTTCTTAAGTGTGAACTAGAGAATAAAACATCTATCTAAGAGACCTAATTGTCTTTGTACCTCTAAGACCTAGCATTGTGTCTGGCACATTGTAGACATTTAACAAATGTTTGCAGAATGGGGGAATGCTATTTTTAAATGGACAGACATGTTATATGAAGCCATTTAAACCCATTATGCCCACTATATGATCTTCACACATCTTTAGAACCTTTAGTAGACAGGCTTGCCTAGACAGTTATCTTTGAATACACCTGACCGAATCCCACCGGAAGAGCTTCTCTTTCATGAGATGGGCAGTGGGATTTCAGAATCTGTATTTTAACCAGCCAGGTGATTTTTATGCACAGCCAAATAAAGGATCCATCTGAAAGAAACGGATCTCAAGGATCTACCACCAGAATTGTACAACCAAGCTTCAAGAACTAGGCTGTGAGGATTTTGTGCACTAAATCATGGCCATTCTTTCTCTCCATGTTAGCTTAATTTCCTCTACTATATTAGTCTTTACTCCCAGAGTGGGATGTTGCTGCTTCTGGCATACAGACTCACCTCATTACATTTTACCATCAGAGAAAACTTGACCCCACTCAAATTAGAAAAGGACTAGAAGGATTCCGATTGATCTTACTGAGATTATGTATGCCAATCATTTTGACGCACAAAAAAAGATCTCAACTTCCATTTAGATCTCATGTCTAAAGTGAGAGAAGGGTGCCTGGGTGGCTCAGTTGGTTAAGCAACTGCCTTCGGCTCAGGTCATGATCCTGGAGTACCGGGATCGAGTTCCACATTGGGCTCCCTGCTCAGCTGGAGGTCTGCTTCTCCCTCTGACCCTCTGCTCTCTCTCATTCTCTCTCTCTCAAATAAATAAATAAAATCTTTTAAAATTTTTTTTAAAAATAAAGTGAGAGAAGATCAGTTCTCCAAGGGCCATCACATAATAATAAATAAATGTGGCATGGAGTGCCTTTTTTCTAATTTGCATGTGTCATATAAACCAGCAGAACCATAATTCCCTAATAATACTCATTAATATTGAGCACTTAAAATGTAAGCACTGTACTAAGCACGATATGAGTATAAACTCAGCTAATAACGAGTTAAATAGGTATTGTTGGATACCCATTTTACAGATGACAAAACAGAGGCAAAGATAGGCTATGTAACTTATCCACAATTACTCAGATTAAAAAAGTGGTGTACTGGGATTTAAACGCAATTTATCTGGCTTCAGAGCTAGTCTCTTCAATTCTTGTAGGGACTAATAACATACTGCTTCTCAAAAGAAAGGAATTGCTATTCCAATAAGGCTGTAGTTCTCAACCAGGTCCAGTTCTGTCCTGCGAAGATATTTGGCAATACCTAGAGACATTTTTGGTTGTCACAGCTGGGAATGTGGGTGCCACTGGCATCTAAAGGATAGATGCCAGGGATGCTGCTGAACGTTCTGCAATATACATATAGCCCACTATAGCGAAGAATTATCTGGCCCAAATTCCAGTAGTGTCCAGATTGAGAAAACCAGTCATAAGGGAAAAAGGGCTTTGAGCTGACCAGCTACCTTTTTTTTTTTTTTAACATTCCAGATGTTGATCTTCATTATCCTGGTGTGTATTTGAATTTCCTGTGGAGTGTTCTAAAGTTACACAAGCTTTCACTGAAATTTTTACCCCTTTTTTCCCATCTCACTACTGAAGCAATTCTCAGGAGGGTCAGATGATGTGCAAGGTGGGGAGGATGTGGTATATTAAGATATACACATTTTCATCTGTAGGAGAATTTTAAATTAAAACAAAAGTAATTGATTCTTCCAACCTCCCTTCTACTTAAAACCAGTGTTCTGATGACACAGTTTGTCCATTAGTTTTCTGGCTTCCTTCTGCCTTCCTCCCAAGTTAGTTAAATAAGCATAGGTAACTTACAGCCACTCTTTTGTACAAACCAGCTTGATCCTCTACCTACTTACTCCTTCCCTTAGAGACCCCCAGCAACTATGAAGACAGAATGAAACTGTGTAAAAACTGGCACTCTTTTAAGAAGATGCCTGGATACTTCCCAAATTATGGTTCTCCAGCAACATAATTGGGTAGCTTTTTATTAGTTTCTAAGGTTATCTTTTGGTGTTTTTACTTTACTAGAGATTCATTAAATTAAGTCACCTTTTTTTAGAAACACAAATTTGGAAAGGTTAAGCCATTCATAAGTTAGTTCAGTCAGATCACTGTTATCCCAGCCCTTATGTGAAATTTAACTCCCTTGCCAGGAGAGAAGTTTGCTGGGGTTTTTTATCTGTTTTTGTAGATAGGTCATGGTGAAACATTAAAAAGTGGAGAGAGGTTAAAATATGCCTGGATGAAGAGCCAAGAAGGGAAATGAAAGAATAGGATTTTACACAGCCTGCATGCAGTACTCAGAGTCTTTCACTAAAAAATTAAGAGAAAGGTACAATATGGTGGTGTGTGGTATCAAAAAAAAAAAAAAACACACCCCACATATTCGAAAAACTTTCCCAGGGAAAAACGATGATTGTCAAGAATAAAATATATTTTGGAAGACTATATCTAGCACAGGCTTTTATGTAACCATTGTATAATTGCACATGTAATATTTTCAGGATATCGTTATATATGAAGGTGAAATAGTAGTAATGGAGAAGGTAGCATAAATGGAAGAAATCATTTTTAAAGAACAAGTGGCAAAACCTAGTAGCAGTCATGGGACGCCTGAGTGGCTCAGTCGGTTAAGAGTCTGCCTTCGGCTCAGGTCAGGATCCCAGGGTCCTGGGATCGAGCCCCGCATCGGGCTCCCTGCTCAGCGGGAAGCCTGCTTCTCCCTCTGCCTGCCGCTCCCCCTGCTTGTGCTCTCGCTCTCTCTCTCTGACAAATAAATAAATAAAATCTTAAAAAAAAAAAAAAACTAGTGGCAGTCTGTGGGGAATAAATGATTAAAGAACAGCCACATGGATCTGAACTTGAACCATTAACAGAGCTAAGGAAGTTAAGGAAAGTGAATTTGGAAAGATTTATCAGCAAAATCTTGTGCCTTTACAGCTTTTTCATGGCCCATGGTTTTGTTAGTGAGCCTCTAAATGTCAGTCCAACTATGTTGTTAAATGTCGAAACAAGAGCTACAGAGAGACCAGGGCTACCCTGGGGAATCCAGGCTACGGTGGTCACTGCAGCTATACAAGGTTCTACCCTTCCACCATCACCAGAACCAGTTTGAATGGTGGCTATAATCAAATCTTTACCTTAGCCAATCCAACAAAGTTTTATTGAGTAAACAGCCTCTTTGGGTACTTTTCTTGATGTTAGAGATACTGAGATTTAAAAAAAAACAGACAGATCCTCCCTGCCTAAAGTTTACAGTCTACTTCCCATAACTGAGAAAAAGCACAAATACATACAAAAGATACCAACATTGCATAGCCCATAGCAGAAAAAATGATGTGGGAGTGTGTGTCAGAAAGGGGTTCATTCACTCATTTTTTTCAAAATATTGAGCACATACTCTCTGCCAGGTACTACTAAACACTGAACACAGAGTAAAGAACTCCACAGAAGAAGTGTCCCTTTTCTGGTTTACATTTTAGTAACAGAGGTAATAAACAAACAAGATACTTACAGACTGATAAATGCCGTAAAAGAAATAAGGTGATAAGAGGGAGTAACTAAGGTTAGGCCAGTCTTGGACTCTAAAGCAGATCCAAGTTTGAGGTGGTCCTACCATAGGCACTGCAAATGTACCATCCCTCAAAATATTTGCAGCTACTGTTGTAGAGGTAAATAGTCCCTAGTAACTAGTTTATAGGATTAACTAGGATTATAACTCAAGCCCATAGAATCACTGGAAATTTTCTAATTTCTCTTTAGTGCATACCCAGTTAATTTCCTGCAACATTTATGAAGATGGCCATTTCTTATGATGCTGCTTTTCAAAAGAATAGATCAGATTTTGTTGTACAGGTTTTATAAGAAAGATACCCAGAGGTATGAATATAAAAAGAGGGTTTGGTGGGGGTGGGGGTGGGGGTGGTTGTTTTCAGGCAGGAGAATTATTCAATAAACCGTGTGCCAGATATTTTTCTACTCTTGGAGATGGGGAATGAGAAACAATGACACAATGACCTTTTTTAACTATTTTTCTTTTTTTACATATATTCTATTATATATGAATATATAAATATATATTATCTATATTCTATGTATAAATATATATATCATCTATATTCTATATATATATTTATATATGCATGAAGTAATATGTGTATAAAAGAGTGATATAAAAATAGGAGTATGGGATTTCTGATATTTGATCCCAGGTAACATTTCGTTGAATATTCTATATTTCTCCTCTTTAGTCTTTACCAGTGGTGAATCGCCTCTTAAATAGAAGAATGGTAGTGGTGTTTAGGCATATTACACTTCTTCTTTGGAAGAATTTTGCTTTAAAAGTGAGTATATTCATCTGAAAAAATAAGGGGGGTAGCTAATACCCAATGAGTAAATATGTTATGGTAACTGATACTCTCTATTCCGGGATCATAGATTCAGAATGAGCATTTGGATCATCAAAAATCAATTACACACTAGAGTTAGGGAGCTGTTAGTATGTTCCTTAAGAAGGCGGATGATTGGCATATATATTTGGAAGTCCAGAAACCTACATTGGTTAAAGGTCAGAAGAGGAAGTAAGAATATCACTAATAAGAGGAAGTCGAGGCGAACATTTGATCACATGTGACAGGCATATGGGTTTCAGGAGGACACAAATACTGAATGAGAATGCAAACCAAAGAGAAGTCTAATGAGACAGGATCCAGCTTCCACAGAAATTGGAATAGCTGGGCAAAATGGGCTAGAGAACAGACACAACACACCAACACCAAGAAAGTTTGATAATTAACAACCTTCTGCCACAATAAAGTTGTTTCCAAATAGTTCCTTTTTGGTCAACAGAAAGCATCTTAGGGGGAAGAGCTGATTGGAGCAAAAGTGAACTACTGGGACCTTATCAAGATAAAAAGTTTCTGCACAGCAAAGGAAACAAGCAACAAAACCAAAAGCCAGCCTACAGAATGGGAGATGATACTTGAAAATGGCATATCTGATAAAGGGTTAGTATCCAAAATCTATAGAAAACTTATCAAACTCAACACCCAAAAAAACATAAGCCAGTTAAGAAATGGGCAGAAGACATGAAAAGACACTTTTCCAAAGAAGACATCCAGATGGCTAATAGACACATGAAAAAGTGCTCAAGATCACTTATTGTCAGGGAAAACTGCAATGAGATACCACCTCACACATGTCAGAATGGCTAAAATTAACAGCATAGGAAACAACAGATGTTGGTGAGGATGTGGGGAAAGGGGAACCCCCTTGCACTGTTGGTGGGAGTTGAACTGGTGCAGCCACTTTGGAAAACAGTATGGAGATTCCTCAAAAAGCTAAAAATAGAACTACCTTATGATCCAGCAATTGCACTACTAGGTATTTACACAAAGGATACAAAAATACAGATTCGAAAGGGTACATGCACCCTGAAGTTTATAGCAGCATTATCAACAATAGCCAAACTATGGAGAGAGTCCTAATGTCCATCAACTGATGAATGGATAAAGAAAATGTGGCATATCATATATATACAATGGACTCTCAGCCATCAAAAAGAATGAAGTCTTCCCATTTGCAACAACATGGCTGGAACTAGAGTGTATTATGCTAAGCAAAATAAGTCAGTCAGAGAAAGACGAATACCATATGATTTCCCTCATATGTGGAATTTAAAAAACAAAACAGATGAAGATATAGTAAAGGTCGGGGAGAGAGAGGGAGCAAACCATGAGACTTCTAACAATAGAGAACAAACAGGGTTGATGGAGGGAGGTGGGAGGGGGACGGGCTAAATTGGTGATGGGTATTAAGGAGGGCACTTGTGATGAGCACTGCATTTTATAGGTAAGTGATGAATCACTAAATTCTACTCCTGAAACCAATATTACACTATATGTTTACTAACTAGAATTTAAGTAAAAATTTAAAGAAAAAAAAAAACAGAAAACAAAAAGAATGAAGAAAAACGAACAGAGCTTCAGAGACCTGTAAGATACCATTCAGCACACCAACACACATGTAATGGGAGTTCCAGGAAAAGAGAGAAAGAAAAGGACAGAACAAATATTCAAAGAAATAATAGGTTAAAACTTTACAAATTTGATGAAAAACAATCTCTATATTCAAGAGGCTCAGTATAGGTTAAGTATGGAGAACTTCAGGTAGGACTGCCTTGCCAGCGCAGCCTCTTCCTCAACCATTCTTATTTGAAGGAAAGCTTGTTCCAAGCAAGGAGAATGTTTCTCAGCAAAAGAGGCCCTGGTTGTCCATTCAAACCAGATTCCCATCTATGAGAACTACCCCAACCTGACCAGTCCCTCTATAACCGTCACCCATTTGTATTTTCCCATAGCTCTGAGATCTTCTGCAAGCCCACCAGGTTGGTCTTAGGGTCAATGAATATTCAACTCACAGGATTATCATAAGCCATGCTTGGTACCAGTCTACTCAGTAGGACAGGAAATGGCAGCAGGGCAGCACCAGGTGCTGCTCTTGTGCGAGTCCCTGCAGCAACTCAGATGCAAGAGGACAAAACCCACATCGCATAGGTGTGGGAACCTCCCTGGCTTAGAAGCTCCATAGGAGCAATTCCAAAGGCAGAGCTTCCAGAGTCCCCACAAGAGGCCCAATTATAAGTGATGAGGATCACTGCCCTCAAGAAAGCCCAAAGTCTAGTTTCTTTGTCAGGTGTTTATAGTTCTCCTTGTCTGGGTGTAATTTGTCCATCAGGGATCATTTTTACCATAAGCAGTATTGCCTAGTAACACGGGTTATGTTTTTATCTGGTTGCCAGGAGAACATAAAAAGAGCCAACCAAAGGTCAAATTCTCATGCAGAATGGATAAAAAATGTAATACACTAAGATGCTTCCAGGACTCATTTACTTGTTTGTCAACAATAGAGACACACGAGATTGCTTGTCTACATTTTAAATATATATACACATACGTGTGTGTAAGTGTTGGGGACAAGGTTAGGGGACATTTCACTGTATATGCGTCTCCGAATCTTGGATGTAGGTAGGAATTACCATAATTTATAACCTTCTCTCTTCCTTGCTTCCTTTCCTCCTTAAACCCTTCCCTATGTAGTGATGGCACCAAGCATAAGCTAAGTACAGCTATTGCCCTGTTAGGAGGGCCTGACATCATCTTCCTCGATAAGCCATCTTCTGGCATGGATCCTGTGGCCCAACACTTCCTCTGGGACACAGTCTCATGGACCCATGAGTCTGGCAAGATCATTGTCATAATCACCCATAGGTGTGGCTTGTATCTTGATTGAGGGATGGGGAAGAGGGGAGTTACACTTGGTGCCATGGGCATGTGATTATGTCCAAGAACATAAGTTAGTAATGACCTTGCCAGGGCCTGTTAATATCCCTGGAAGAATTATAGTCTGTGATTCCTGCCAGAAGAAATACCCTACAGTTCTTAGATGAACTCTTTGGAACACTCTATCCAAAAAATGAAGAAGTAGAAAGAGATTGGAGCTCTTACTGCAGGTTTAAGCATCTGCCTCTTGGTTTCTGTTTTTATATTTTGACTATAAGAGAATGTAGTCAATAGAGGTCCCCTAAATCTTACATGGGTCCTAAATACCAGTCTTACCAAGAACTTGCCTGATTCTTTGAGGGTTCTAGCCTTCACCATGCCATGGTGAGCCTCTCCAGCTCTACCTCCCTCTGGTTCCTTATTTTCCCAGGATGGAAGAATGTGAGGCTCTGTGTTCAAGACTGGCCATTATAGTAAATGGGAAGTTCAAGTGCCTTGGCAATCCAGGCAAGGATCCAAAGAATAAGTGGAAGTGCATACATTCTACAGGCCAAAATCAAGATGGATAAGCAGGCAAAAGAGGTGCAAAAGCTGAAGATACTCATTGAAACAACTTTCCAGGTACTAAAGGTTAAGCATGACCCTCTCAATTAAGCTTCTCTTGAGCCCTAGTGTTCCCAAACTTTTCACGCCATTGATGTAGACATTAAGAGTTAGTAAGTAAGGCCCTCAGCCCCTCTTTGTCATTATGCGATTACAGTGCTTTCTTCTCCCTGTGATTCTAACTACATTCTACAAGATAATTCTTCCCAGCTATGAAATAATTACTCTTGTACCAATTATCAGTTCCAATATTTACGATTTCTCCTGGCTTAGTCAAGGTATGATCAAGAAACACCAACTAGGCCACAATGGTGACACTGAGCCACGAGGCCAAGCAGAAGCTGCAGCAGCTCCTTGAGGGTGGCCAGTTTGCCATCTGCGGGGGCTTTCTTCCTCTCGTGATTTACCTGGGATTCAAGGGTGGGGTTGCAGATCCTGGAATGCCTGGACCAACTGTTTTGAGCTAACGGGAATAAAGGTTATCTGGATTTGGAAGCAATCAATGGACAGGAACAACATGGAAGGTGTGCACTCTGGCTGGGATAGAGATGGGACATCGCGCAAATGTTCACCAGTTGAATGGCACAGGGCTCCTCTCAGATGAATCTGTGGCAGAATGGGACCTCAACTGACTTATTTATCATAGACTATATCAAAATACATGTTTTTAACAATGTTAAAAAAAAATGCTAACTAGCACTAACAGCTCTCTTCTCATTTTTCAGGTAGAATTTGTGTGAGGGACATAACTATACATACAGCCAACAGATAAATGTTTGCACAGTGCAGATGTCCCCTCTATGTAAATGGTAGGCCATTGTTAGAGATAACCAGCCTATATATACCCATGCCTTTGTCTTCTCTCTGTGGTTAATCATATCCCCATGGTTTGCACAGTGCCTAGCACACAGTAGATATTCAGTGAACTTCTGCTGAAAGCCAAGAGTGTGACATAATCAGATTTGCATTTAGAAAGACCAATTCAACTTCAGAATTTAGACTAGTGATATGTTTTTGTTATCTATTCCCATACTTGTCCTACCATAGTGTTTTTTCTTTTCTTACTCTATGTAATTGCTGGTCTAATTGGCTGTCTTTCTCACTTGTAAATTCCATTATGGCAAGGGCCATATCCTGGAGTAGAAACAAAATTGGAGCCTGACCCAGTATGGCAGTATGTTAGGGCTTGGCCAATCAAATTAGGTCAAAAGGGGGATGAAAAAAATGAAGTTCAGATGTCTGCCTCCTATCTGGCTTTCCTGGGATGAAATTCAGAGACTTCAAAATTTAAAAAAAAAAAATCCTCCACCCTCCAAAAATTTTTCATTTTAATTGTGATGGAATTGTCAGGATCCTAGTGCCCTAACTCCTTGCCGAGAGGATTATTTTCCTCCACAAGTAATATAAAAGGGCGGATCTTTAGCCTAGCCTAGGTTGTTACAAAAAGAGTGAGCCCAGCTGGGCATTTGTGAGCTGGCCAAAAGAAAAAGCTTCACTCTGCAACTTTTCTTTTTTCTTCCCATTTTGTGCAAACGTTTCTTACTGAAGCCTCCTACCTGTCCGTTCATGCTTTCTGCCTCGATGCTAGGCTCAAGCCTTGTTTTCCTCTTCTGCCTACAGTATCAGACAAAAACCAGTTTGCCCAGTGAGCACTTTTTAAGCTAAATTACATCATTAGCATAGTTCTGCAAATTAGATGGCCATGCACTTAAGTAGTATCCATGCCTACCTGAGATAGACTAGTATAGAGCATACTATTTTTTCGCGTTTTTTTCCTATAACAATACAATGAGTTAAAATTACAGTATTTAATGTTTTAGGTTGTTTCCTCCTTAAATTGTTTAGCTATAGAACAATGTAGACATGGTTTAGGTATAGGCCAATATGCTTAGCCATGTGACCTACATCAAAGTGGTATAGAAATTTAGGAGATAGAGAAAGAAATGGGAGCTAAAGCAGTCATGGAGGGCTTCACCAAGGTAGTGGGACTTCAGGTAGGTATTTAGAATGAGTGCCTTTTCCAGGTGACCAGTTTAATTTTCATTTACAGACATTATTTTGAGATACTATTATTTGCTAGGCACTATGCTAGGTGCTAAGGCTATAAAGATAAATAAAATGGGGTCCCTGACTTCATGGAGTTTACAGCCTAATGGGTAAGGCAGACCCATAAACAGGAAAAAAAATTAAAATATTAATTTATAATACTTCATATTTACTCCATTTCAATAGAACAATTATATTTCTTTCTGTTCTTTAAATTCTAATCTTATGCCCACTTTGGAATCATTCTCAACTCTCTTTCACTGTTTGTAACCACTCCCGCTCTATATCAGAGTAAAACCATTTCTCTTTGACTAGCTCTAAAATCTTCCGGCAAATGAGAATCCCATCTGTGCCTTCACACTTTCACACTTAGGGTCAAAAACTTTCAAAATAGCTTCCTTCTGCCTTCAGTCCCTTCTTTCTGCTGCTTGAACATTCTCTATCCTCATCCTTAACCCCTGTCTTCCAAAAGGAAAGCCTCTTTTGCCATTTTGTTCCTTGTTTTATTCTGCTTTCTGAGGGTATTATATAAAATCCAAATTTGAATCAAATAGTAAAGATCGACCACTCTCTCGGGCTGCTTCTCTATTTAAAGGGACCAAGTGTTTTTGATTAAATATTTTAAAAATACAACTAATCAAGGGGCGCCTGGGTGACTCAGTTGGTTAAGCCTCCAACTCTTGATTTTGGTTCAGGTCTTGATCTTAGGATTGCGGGATCAAGCCCTGCATCGGGCTCTGTGCTCAGCGTGGAGTCTGCTTGAGATTCTCTCTCCCTCTCCCTCTCCCCCTCCCCCCTGCACACACGCTTGTCGCCTGTATGTGCGCGCATGCACACACTCTCAAATAAATATTTTAAAAATACAACTAATCAAAAAATAACATTTAGATCAACATAAAGTGGTTTCTCACCTCATCCTTATGAATCGAAAATATGAGCTCTGTCCATATTTTCAGTGTGAAGTGAATTCCTGAATTTTTTTTTCAAAGATTGCTCCTTCTAGAATGCAAGGATCCCAGTGATTTTTTTTTAAGTTCAATTAATTAACAATATAGTGTATTATTAGTTTTAGAGGTAGAGTTCAGTGATTCATCAGTTGCATACAACACCCAGTGCTCATTCCATCACGTGCCCTCCTCCTTCATGCCCACCACCTAGTCACCCCATCCCCCCCCACCTCCCCTCCAGCAAGCCTCAGTTTCTTTCCTATGCTTCAGAAGTCTCTTACGGTTTTTCTCCCTCTCCGGTTTCATCTTGTTTTATTCTTCCCAGGTTTTTTTTGTTTTGTTTTTTACTAACCAGAATCATGCTGTATGTATTGTCCATGTGCTTTTTGGAGATGTCCTCAGCCTAGCACACTCCTTTTATCCATTTTATATTCCACAGAAATAGATGTTTGGGTTGCTTCATTCTGCTGTTATAATTATTCCCACTTTTGTGCACAAACTTGGGCACAGGGGCTGAAATTTGAGGGGAACAGTGTCAATTTGAGCCCTTGGCAATCTGAGGTGAAGGCATGTTGACTTGGCATTTAGCAGGTGGCAGGCCGTGCACGCTGACTCGGGCAGGAGGGCAGGTGGACCGTGAATTTGGGACAGGCCGATGGCATTGTGTGTGACAGAGACGTGGCTGGTTTTGCTCTTAATTTTTGTTTTTCTGGGAAACTTGATCTCTCCCTCTATTCTAAATGAAAGCCTTGCTGGATAGAGTATTCTTGGCTGTAGATTTTTTCCTTTTAGCAGTTGGAATTTATCATGCTGTTTTCTTCTGGCCTGCAGAGTTTCTGCTGAAAAACCCACTGATAGCCGTATGGGGTTTCCCTTGTATGTACCTGCTTTCCTTTCTCTTGCTGCTTTTAAAATTCTCTCTTTATCACTACTTTTGGCCATCTTATTTACTTTGTGTCTTGGCGCAGACCTCTTTGGGTTGGTTGTGTTGGGGGCTCTCTGTGCCTCCTGGATCTGGATTTCTCATTCCTTCCCCAGATTTAGGAAGTTTTCAGCTATTATTTCTTCAGACAAATCTTCTGCGCCCTTTCCTTGCTCTTCTCCTTCTGGGATCCCTATCATGCGACTGTTATGCCTGACAGTGTTGCTGAGTTCCCTGGGTCTATTTTCATTTTGCGCATTTTTCCCCCCTCTCATCTGCTCGGCTTGATTGCTTTCCATGACTCTGTCCCCCAGGTGGCTGATCCTTTCTTCTACTTCCTCTTGCTTGCTATTTATTCCAGATGCTCTATTTTTATTTCCATTTAGTGAGTCCAATAGCTCTAATTGGTTCTTTTTTACGTCTGCAAGCTCTCGGTGGAGGGTCTCATGGAGGTCCTGCAGTCCTTCCTCAATTCTAGCGAGCATCTTTATGAGCGTTACTTTAAATTCACTATCAGACATATTACTTATCTCCATTTTGCTTAGGTCTCCTACTCTGATTTTGTCCTGTTCTTTGATTTGGGACATATTCCTCTGTCTCCTCATTCTGTCTCTTGCGCTGTCTGTTTCTCTGTGTTAGGAAAGTCAGTTCCGTCTCCTGCACTTGAAAGTAGTGGCTTTATGAAGAGGTCCTGCAGTGCAATGTCTGTTCCCCAGAACCTGGTGCTTCAGGGCGTGTCTCCTATGTGTGTTGCCCCAGGGGTGTCCTCCCGTTGTGGCTGGGACGTGTTTGCCTTCAGTCCTGTTGTCTGCGATGGCTCCCTGCCTGTTGTGGGCAGAGTCTGGTGCCCGTGGTGTTAGTGGGCTGCTTCGGGGCTGCCTTGGGCTGGAGTTGAGTCAGACCAGGCGTTTGCCGGAGATGCAGGAGCACCAAACTGCAGGCCCTGTCCCTGTGTCGTCCTCGGAGAAGCTTCTGTTCGTGGGTGGGGCCTGCAGTCAGACCAGCTGCCTGCCCTCAGCCCACTGCTGGGGTCACAGTCAGACGGGTGTGTGCTTATCTTCCGCTCTCCCTGGGGCAGGACTCACTTTGGAGTGGTGCTGACCCTTGTCTGGGCCGCGCACACACTGCCAGGCTTGTGGCACCGCTTTGACGGGATCTTGCCAAGAGCGATCGGAGGGGATGGATCTGCTTCGCTGTGGCCTCTTGTCTGTGCCGGGCTGCAGAGAGTCTGTTCTGCCAGTTTTCGGGCTGCTTTCTGGGTTATTTATGCCGACGTGGGTGCTCTCTAGGCGGCCACGCGACAAGAGGTCAGCCCAGGGACACCCTACCCCGCTATCTTCCCAGCAGCCTCTGCTCAAGGATCCCAGTGATTTTTTAAAAACTTAGTTTGACATGTATGTGATAAAAACATTGTGCTAGAAATAGGATTGCATTATCCTATTTTTATTATGGTTAAAAAAACGCATAACATAAATTTTACCATCTTAACCATTTCTAAGTGTAGAGTTCAGTAGTGTTAAGTGTATTCACATGGTTGTGCAACCAATCTGCAGAAATTTTTCACCTTGCCAAACTGAAACTCTGTACCCATTAAAGCAATAACTCCCCATTTCCCTCTCCCCCCAGCTGTGGGCAGCTACCATTCTACTTTCTATTAATTTGACTACTCTAGACACCTCACATAAGTGGAGTGATATGGTATTTGTTTTTTTATGACTGACTTACTTCATTTGGCATATCAAGTTTCATCCGTGTTGTAGCAGGTCTCAGAATTCCCTTCCTTTTTAAGGCTGAATAATATTTCGTTGTACATATACAACACATTCCTCCCTCAGTGGACACTCGAGTTGCATCTGCCTCTTGGCTATTGTGACTAATGCCACTGTGAACATGGGTGTGTAAATATCTCCTCAAGACCCTGTTTTAATTCTTTTGAATATATACTCAGAAGTGGGATTGCTCTTCAACTTTTTGAGGACCCTCCATACTGTTTTCCATAGTGTGCCTGCACCATTTTATATTCCCACCAACACTGTACAAAGGTGAAACCCTATGATTTAAGGGAAGAGTTCTTACCAGAATATTACCTACTTCTTTTACTGTAAAACAGAGGAAGAGTTCTTCCCCTTTAAGTATAATAAGGAAAGGTCAAAAAATTAATTGCAGAGAAAAAAATACAGTCAAGAATAAAGTGAGAGAAGCACCTTTTTGCCTTGAAACTTTTCCCTGGTGCAAATACAGGGACACAAAACTGACTTGTACCTCTTTCTAACAGTTTTCCTGTTCCTACCTCTCTGCATTTTTATAGAACAGGGACAGTAGAATGTAGTCAGCAATGTCACGTGTGACTAGAAAAATAAATCTGCAAGCAACATGTATATATATTTTTTTAAATTAGGAGCTTTGACTTGGTTCCTCATTTGAATTGACTCTAGCCTTTGCTTTGGTTTAAAAAATACATGTGCCCAGAAATGGCCCTTGTTTCGCCTTATCCCTCACACAAAGCACCTCTTTCCCTTTTTCAGCCCCCTAAAGCATGAGCTCCAAGGGACGGTCCATTACCACATACCTAGCAAGGACTTTACCTGAGGAAAGGTGAGTGTGGTACCAGGCCCTCCTAAAGCCACAGGAGGTGTTTTGACCTTAGAGTTGGTGGATGATATGAAGCATTCAAATTCAGGCATCTGAGATATTTCAGACAAACCTGGCTCCATCAGAGACCATTTCTATTTTTCCCTTTCTTGGGTACTGTGTAAAGCCGATACAGTTTCTTTCCAGCTCTTACCATAGTAGTTTTATAGAACATGGCTTAAGACTAAATTATTTTGGCTTCTTAGGAGTTACTTGTAATTTGAGGGCATAGATAGATGAGTTCTGTTTCAGCAGGTGTGAGGTTTATAAATTCACAGTATCCTGGGAAGCTGACATTAACAGGGGTAGACGGGCAAAACATTTCTTCTCTAACTGGGATTTATTAGCTTCACAGGAAGTCTCCAGGTCCATGCAAGGTGGGAGTAAACAGAGCCTTTTCCCCCTTCTCTCTACCAACCCAGTATTTTTCCTCACCTGTCCCTTTGAGGGCCTTTAATAACAGTGATTTCTTCTGCTGCTTTGAAAGTATTTGGTATCGTGAAGTCAATCAAAGATGAATATGGATTAGAAAATTATTTCATGGGGCGCCTGGGTGGCTCAGTCAGTTAAGCGTCTGTTTTTGGCTCTGGTCATGATCCTGGAGTCCTGGAATTGAGCCCCGTATCAGGCTCCCTGCTCAGCGGGAAGTCTGCTTCTCCCTCTCCCGCTGCCCCTTCCCGCTTGTGTTCTCTCACACGCACTCACTCTCTAATGAATAAATAAATAAATAAATAAAATCTAAAAAGGGGGGGGTGCCTGGGTGGCTCAGTTGTTAGGCGTCTGCCTTCGGCTCAGGTCATGATCTCAGGGTCTTGGGATCAAGCCCCGCATCGGGCTCTCTGCTCAGCGGGATGCCTGCCTCTCCCTCTCCCATTCCCCCTGCTTGTGTTCCCTCTCTCGCTGTGTCTCTCTCTGTCAAATAAATAAATAAAATCTTAAAAAAAAAAAAAAGGGGGGGTGCCTGGGTGGCTCAGGTCGTGATCCTGGGTTCCTGGGATCGAGCCCTGCATCGGGCTCCCTGCTCAGCAGGGCGTATGCTTCTCCCTTTCCTATCTCTCCCTCTGCCCCCCTTCTCTCTCTCAAATAAGTAAATAAAATCTTTTTTTAAAAATTATTTCATTAGATCACACTGGAGCAAGTTTTCCTGGTCTTGCCCAAACAGAAATAAACAAACAAAAACCCAAATTATAAAGATAATTGAACAGTGGTTCTAACCACCATCTGACACCTCCCCACCAATCTTCTGCGTATAAAAATGACTAAGTTTTCTGTCCTTTGTGCTTTGTGTTTGTGCAACAAAAATGTAAAAGCATATACTGCTATATCCCAATTACTACATAGGGAGAGAGGCTAGGCCGGTGTTCCCAGACTTTATGACTATGCACTAGATTCACCTGGGAGGCATTTCTTTAAAATGAAGATTCCTGGGGTGCCTGGGTGGCTCAGTCATTAAGCATCTGCCTTCAGCTCAGGTCATGATCCTGGTGTCCTGGGATCGAGCCCTGCATTGCAGGAAGCCTGTTGCTCCCTCTCCCACTCCCCCTGCTTGTGTTCCCTCTCTCACTGTGTCTCTCTCTGTCAAATAAATAAAATCTTTTTAAAAAATTAAAATAAAATGAAGATTCCTGGATTCCAAACCGGGTAGATTCTGATTCAGTCAGAGTGGTGGCAAACCCAGGAATCTGCATTTCAACAAGTATTCCACATGATTCTGATGCCTGTTTGGCTTTGGGGCAAAAAATGGGCTAGGCCTTCCAGGGGCTTCTCAAATTAAGGCTTGCAATTTAAACACCTAAGAAGTCGTTTTTATTCCTGGTAATTTTTCCTGACAGTATAAAATTAGTATAAAATACTACCAGGTGACAGCATATCACCATTCAATGTCACCATTCAAATAAGACTTTTACTAAAGCTATAATGAAAACATGATAAACATATTTGTCTTTCCTTTCTTTCCCAAACTTAACCAGTGTCAAGACCTCTTTGCCAAAGTAGCTTTGGCTACTTGAGTCACAAAATAATTTATTTTTTTTTTAAGAGTCACAAAATAATTTAAAAGAAGCTAGTTCAACCTAACTTACTTGCACAATTTCAGATTTTTGTTGATATCATGAGGTCTAAGCTGGACATCCTAAGAACTAGAGCATTGGCATCTAGACGGGCTCCAGAGTATTCTTTCCCAGGAAAGTGTTAATCCTGAGGTCTCTTCCCTTCCTGTCTTTGCAATCATATGACACAGCTGATGTCACTTGGGTTCTCCCCTTCATACCTGATATCAACTAATAAGGTGCATAGCAAACTTACTTAGATCCCACATACAACTAAGAGAAAAGTGAAAGGCAGTTTTAAGACAAAAGGGATGTGTATTTCTGTTTAATAAAATGCACAAATCCATGGGACGCCTGGCTGGCTCAGTTGGTTAAATGTCTGTCTTGGGCTCAGGTCATGATCCCAGTGTCCTGGGATGAAGTCCTGCATCGTGCTCCCTGCTCAGCGGGGAGCCTGCTTCTCCCTCTGCCTGCCACACCCCCTGCTTGTGCGTGCACTCTCTCTCTGACAAATAATTAATCTTAAAAAAATAAAATAAAATGTACAGATCCAAGAGACAGTGGGAGAATAAACATTAACTAGAGCAGCTTTGACTTCAGATCTTGACCGCTTAAGTCAGGTATCAAAAATAGCCATGCCCCTGGCCCCTGCACAATTTAGGGCACTAATTTAAAAATTAGTGATTTAAAATGTAAAGTCTTTATTTAAAAATTTTTTAAATAACCATGCCACCCCCAATTATGATTATAGCCACCTTAAACATTTTTTTTTAATTTTATTTATTTGACAGAGAGAGACAGTGAGAGAGGGAACACAAGCAGGGGGAATGGGAGAGGGAGAAGCAGGCTTCCTGCGGAGCAGGGAGCCTGATGCGGGGCTCGATCCCAGGACCCTGGGATCATGACCTGAGCCGAAGGCAGATGCTTATCCAACTGAGCCACCCAGGCGCCCCGCCACCTTAAACATTCATTAAAAGTCATAGTTCTCTCCACTAAGGAGCTTAAAATCAAAGAAAGGTAAAATGTTGATTCTGGTTGAAACTGGGCATTAGGTAAATGGGAATTCATTATACTATCCCTTTAACTTCTGTTTGAGAACGCCAATACTGTTTTTTCTTTCATCTAGTTAAGGGAGCTAAAACATGATTAAAAAATTAATTATCAGTAGAAGACAGTAAAGTTCCAAGAAGGGAGAAAAAACTCCAGGCTATAGTGGTATTGGCCGGGAAGGGATTCTGAGAAGAACAGGGAAGGAAATGCCAACTGTCAGAATAATGGATTAAGAGGAGCCATGATTAATGCCTCCAGCCCTAACATGGCAAGGTGATGTTCCCAAGTTCAAACCACTTTCCTGGGGCGCCTGGGTGGCTCAGTCATTAAGTGTCCGCCTTCAGCTCAGGTCATGATCCCAGGCTTCTTGCTCAGTGGGGAGTCTGCTTCTCCCTCTCCCTCTGCCAGCCACTCCCCCTGCTTGTGCTCTCTCTCTCTCTCTCAAATAAATGAATACAATCTTTAAAACACACACACACACACACACTTTCCTGGAGTCTCCTTCCTTATGACTTTCCTCCCCACCCACCTTCACACACACGCACCCACCCAACTGCAGCTCAAAGCAGGAAGTTGGGCTCCATTGAGTCAGATTTGACTCTACAGTAAGAAAACCGACAAAACTTTCCAGCAATGTACTCCTCTAGTCTTCTATGTCTATTCTCTTCTTGTCTGTTCATTTTCTCTCCCAGGGCTTGAAATATCTCCTATGCAGAAAGTTTCAAGGACCTCATTTTCTTCCACAGAATTCTAGCATTGTGGCAGAAATATGACATTAGCTGGTAAGGCAAACTGGAGAAATTTCAAGGTTTTCTGTCACCTACACTTTGTTTTTATGCTAGTCTGGGTCATGGGGTATTCTAAAAGAGGAAGAGATTTTAAAAATACACTTACTAAGCAACAGTAATGAGTAAGATATAAGCAATCTGGAGCCTCATCTAGAGAATGCTCTTCTTCCCTCCCTTTTTTCTCCTTTATTTTGTATCCTCTTGGTCACCCACTTTCTTCTGTGTCTTTTTTTTTTTTTTTAAGATTTTATTTATTTGAGAGAGAGAGAATGAGAGACAGAGAGCATGAGAGGGAGGAGGGTCAGAGGGAGAAGCAGACTCCCCGCCGAGCAGGGAGCCCGATGCGGGACTCGATCCCAGGACTCCAGGATCGAGGAGCCGAAGGCAGTCGCTTAACCAACTGAGCCACCCAGGCGCCCTTCTTCTGTGTCTTCTATTCTCAACTCTTTTACTACTTCCCTCCATTATGGGGACTTACTACTCCAAGCATTAATTATTCAAAAGGTATAAGGAGTATCAACACAAAATGAGAATTGGAGCTCATGGATCCAGCCTCTTCTATCACCTTAATTATGTAATTAGCTACAAGACTGGTTGGGAGCTGAAGAAAAGGATAAGGTGGAAAATGTACAACACCTACCACCACCACACATGTTACTAATGGCATCCCATCTCAACTACACGCACACCTTCCTCCTCATGTAAGCAGCAGTCACTGAAGTAGGTAGGACACAGGTAAGACGTGAAAGTGTTAGATCTGTCCATAAGATGGCAGTACGACTTTGGAGTGTACAGCTTAATAGGAAATTTTGCAGTGGTGTAAAATACAAATAAACTTAGAATTTTATTTATGTAGCTGATGTCATGAATTATATTTCAGTTCCTACCACATTTGAACAGAATTTTTTGTTTGGGTCACAGTTATGTTTTGAGGTGGGGGTGAAGAATTAGGGAACATTCTAAATAGGAGTTATACCATCTACCCTGAACTGTTGGAAGTTCCAATGACTGGAACTCTCAGGGATGCAACTAATTTGGGGGTAATGCTTAAAAAGTACTGGAAACAGAGATTTAGGTCCCATGTTAATGAATTTGAACTTTATCTTGAAAAACATGGGGAATCATTGAAAAATTTTAAGCAGGTGGGCAACTTGATGAGAGCAATGTTTCTCCAGCCTCACTCATTGGTAGAACACCTTCATGATTTTTGCCCTATCACCAATAGTTTACTCAACGTTGTTTAAACCTACTTTTACTCTTTTTGCAAATGTATTTAAAGAGGAAACTCTTTACCAGCTTTGCTTGCCATAATACTCAAAATAAATGTACAACTATTGAAATGGAATAGTGTTCATTTATGAACAACTTAAAATCTCATGCACCACTAGTGTTAAGTCTGCCACACTTTGAGACAGGGGTGCCCCCTGAAGGCACAGAAATTGGGTTTGCACCAGATTCTTAATGGCCAGATCGGGTCTTAAATGTCACCTGAAATCCTGTTAGACAGTTGTAGAAGTCAAGT